TCAAGGAAAATTGTTTTATTCAGTACAGAGCATTTAATTTTCCTCCTTCTAAAAAGGTATGGTTTTGTTCTTGCAGATCTCTGCATTGCAAAACAGGCCTTTGTTCCATCGAAGAAAAAAAAGTTGTTTGCTTTAGGGAGCTATTTTGTCATGCAGATGTTGAGGCAAACAAACAAAAAAAAGTTACTCTAATTTAAAGAACTAGTGATTCCTACAAATACATGGGGGAGAAATGCACGGCACTCTTTGGATTTGTGAAAAGAAAAGGTGGGCTCAAAGCAGAATATCTTTGGCCAGCTCCATGTGTGAATATAGCTAGATTTCAAACCCAAAGTGAGATTCTTAGCTAAACTCAATAGAAACACAAGGACAAGTCATAAAGGTCCAGGTGAAAGGCAAAAGTCTTAACATTCTTTTTGTGGGCAGGGTGTCAAAAATCAACATCTAACTTATTAAGCAGAGACTGGATTTTATCCAACAAATAGGAACCTGATATGGCACACTTCCATTTTGCCTACAACATAGACATTCTCCATAATCCTGTAAGATTCTGAGAAGTCAACACAGCAGATAAGTTCTGCTCTTCTATGCCAAATCCCTATCAATCTACGCGTTAAATTTCACAACAACAGAGCTGAGGCCAATAGTTAAAGCTCTTAACATAAGGAAACAGAACATCAATTGTATGTTGATTTTAGGCTTTCCATGGATCCCTGATATCATCACAGTAGGGATGATATAACTTCATTTCTCAAGAAAAAGGAGGGCTTTCATGCACTGTTACTAGATGACAGTATCAGTATTTTCCCAGGTCTTAAGATTCAAGGTAAGCTATCTACAGAGAAGTTATTAGTTCAGGAAAAAAAGCAGTGATATAGAACTTGTGTTCTCATGCTTTATTTCCTCTATAACATCCTTTCTTTCTAATACAGCATTTGTCAGCAAAAGCACACTTCCCAAATGGTCAAATTAATATTAGGCAAAGAGCTAAGCTGGCCAATATCAGTTAATTTCAGTGCATGACGATCCTGCTAGGCTAGCTGGGGAACTAGTTCAACAGTATGACTCTATCCAACTTAGGTTAAGGAAAGCACATTTTGACCTTAAAACAATATTGTCCTATTACTAAAATTCTGGTGGCTCTGTAAGAAAGCAAGTAAACATCACATGTTTATTAAATTTATACCTCAAGATACTAAAGTGAAGAATGGATACTTAGCAACAAGAAACAGGAGAGCACAAGATGTTCCATTCTAGTGATACATTTTGCAATGAAATAGAAAAGCTCACACCAATCTGCAACATCTAAGACAATGAACTAAATCTTCACAAACAGTGGAACTTGTAATCAACAGTGAAATGCCAGATTTAAAAGCCTGAATCAGACGAACGTAACTCAGCCCCCCCAAATTCCACGACATTTGTCTCCTTGCCATCACCACATTTTTCAATTGGACTGAACTGAGTAATCTCAGTTTTAAAAGGTTGGTTCAATATTTCTGTTGCTTATTAAGGTCAAGGAGTCAAAAGATGAGAACGCTAATTTCTGCAAGCAGATTGACTGACATTTGAAAAAGATTGAAGATTCCATCAGTATGGCACATTTTTCTTAGCAAAACATTCATGTAATTTCTCAGGCATTAATCCGAGAAGGTTAACAAGTCAACTCCCAAAGGAGACAACGATCCAGATGCTCTACAGCGTATCAACTAGCCCCATTAGGCTGTTCCTGCAAATGGCAGTTACGGACCATACAGCAGAAGACAAGTGCAGTGTGTTCTACAGTGTAAACCTTGGATCCGACTGGGGAAACTATGGGAATCTGGAGGGTAATGAACTCAGGGATGCAGGCATAAGGTCAGTCACCAGAAGTCAATTCTCTAGCTTTTCCAAGCTTTGATTAGCTCTCAGAATACCAGTCCTCACTTCCTTGGTTGCAGGTGGCTATGACTTTGTCTTTTCTTTCCTGTTTCAGAAACTCAGTAGAGGAAACCAAATCAAACTACAACACATTGAGAACCTTCAAGCTTGGCAGAAGGCAGAGGAATACATCCCTAAGCGTGAATCATTTAAGAGTTTATTTAGTGAGTCTACCAGCTTGTGTAGAGGCAGCAGATAGAGGAAATAAAGTTTCAGGCACCTTCCAGAAGATTCAAAAAACAGATCAGTGACACAACAGTGATTCCTTTTTGCAGAATAACATTTAAGTATCATCATACTAGGAATTGTACGTAAACCAACCAGCTCCTTCAGCTGGATCACAAAGAATAAATGCCAGGGAAGGAAATAAATCAGACACACAGATGAGAGTAACCTCAGGATGAAGCTGATTAGTCATTTCAGACACTTAAGTGGAAGAAAGAAAGCTTTTGAAGTTGTTCCAGAGTTGTACGCATACACAGAAAGATGAGGATCACTGCTCTTTTTGCTTCAATAATATTTTTCCTTCCAAGGTACCCCAAGGAATGTAGATGATGTTGAAAAAAACACCCAGCTAGCCTATGTCATCAGGACATTAAGAAATATATATATATACTGCTGATTAATTAACAGAAATGATTCCTTCAGCATACCAGCTCTCTCTCTCTCCTGTCCAGAAAAGTTTTTTTTAATAGTTCTTCCCCAGTTTTTACGATTACATTTTTAGATATAATTTATGGAAAGTACATTAGCTTACAGGTTCTTTGAGCAATAAAACCTGGGCTGTACTTCAGCAGTGTCCTGCCCTAGATGGCCAGCACATGCCCCTGAGCATGGCCTATCATCCACCTCTGGGCACCTCAGGAAGAGAAAGCCCTGCTGTCTTAGAAAAAAATCCCTTAATTGTTCATCAATTAGTAGCTGGTTTTGCTGGAGGAAAAAAAAAAAAAAAAAAGTCTTCCCATATGCTCTCCAAGTACTTGTTTTGCTATGTGTTATTAAAGACAAAAATTTCAGAGCTCCTTTGAGTTTTGTCCTTCCTATAGAATTCCAAACACATTTAAAAGAAGAGGAAGCAGCAGCAGGAAAGTCTGCACTACTCTTCTAAAGGCCACTGGTAAGCTCTAAAAAGACATGTCTGAAAGCATTATATTTTTTCATTTGTCCATATATGCTGAGTTCATGAACATGAGCCAGCAGTGCGTGCTTGCAGCCTTGAAGACCAATGACGTTGAATTAAGAAAGGGATGGTCAACAGGGAGCTGCTGGAGTGGGTCCAGAGGAGGGGGGACAAAAATGATCAGAGCTCCAGAGCACCTCTCCTATAAAGAAAGGTCGAGGGAACTTGTTTAGCTTGGAAAAGAGAAGGCTCCAGTGAGACCTCATTGTGACCTTCCAGTACTTAAAGGGAGCGTATAAACAGGAGGGGGAATGGCTGTTCACATGGGTTGATAGGACAAGGGGGAATGGTTTTAAACTGAGACAGGGGAGGTTTAGATAAGATATTAGGAGGAAGTTTTTCATTCAGAGGATGGTGATGCACTGGAACAGGTTGCCCAAGGAGGTTGTGGATGCCTTGATCCCTGGAGGCATCCAAGGCCAGGCCGGATGGAACTCTGAGCAGCCTGGTCTGGTGGTTGGCTACTACTTTTTTTTTTTCCCCCCCCAGTAGAATAATTTTGTTACATTTAGGTCAAAATATATTAAATAGAATAATCACAAATAATATCTAAATGTTGTTACCTCAACTTGTCTGCTAAATGTACAAACAACTTGGGAAAACTTCTGAAAAAAAGTCCTTCAGAAAATGCAAAAAATGGAGTTAAGAAGTAATCAGTTGTTTCCTAATAACTGAATTTAAAATCTCTACATTGGTCCATTTCCATACATCCTTACAGCATCATGGATTTATGAGCTCCCTCTCGTGGCTACACTAACAATTAGGGACTGTTCTTTTCCAACCGAGCAGTGGTTGTAGATGAATGTATGACACCAAAGGGCAGTTTGTCATTTTCTGAAGCAGGAATTGATTTTAATCTCCTCAGCTGCTAAATGAGTCACCAGAGCTCCTGCTGAATCACCTGTCACTACCTCTGGTAGATGTTTCTTCACTGCTTCAGGCATGTAGTAAGCCAATCAGTATTCATACACCATGCCCTAAGGAAGCAGGTTGAGGGATGTGCTGACTGGTTGGTGGGATCCTACATTTCCAGACACATTTCAAGGCTGGGCCAATGGAGATATGCCCCCATACTACCAGCCAAGGGCAGAAGCAATGTTCCTATACACCACGGAGCGCATCTTTCCAGACAGGAACCTCTGGATGCCAGCAGCTCCAGAGGAATGTCTTCCCTTTGTGAGTCCTGGCTTTGCCCCACATCAATACATTGATAGTCAGGCTAAATTATTTTAGATTTCCAACCTTAATTATTCAATGATTCTGTCATTCCAGAAGGTTCTCCAGCTTAGTTTCTTCCCTCCCACGCAAGCTAGAGACTCTATGAGCATCAGTGATTTCCAGAGGTCAATTAATGAGCAGAAGAAGAACCATCCAGCTACTTCCCCCATCTTCATGCAGACTGAGCAACAGAGAGATCACAGACTGAGGGCACAGCAGGGAGATTTGCAAAACAAATTAAACATTTCTGAAACCAGAAGTCTCAGAGTTCAAAGGCTGAGTTCAGAACTACATTTTAAGAAAAGATAAGGTCATACCGAGCAAGTGTATCATATGAGTTCTGGCAATAACTGTTTTCTAAACTGACAAAAGACAATTTACAAACTTATGGTAACAATCTGAAGGCAGCCATCAAAGATGTGGCTGAGATTTCCCATCTATTTTTAACAGAAGTAAAATGGAAAGAGCAGAAATGCTGTTTCTTTCACCCTAGTCTCATATTTCCCTCAAACCAAATGTACTGTCTCAGGAGACTGCTGCACTGTTTAGAATAATAGATTATCTGTTATCCATTTTAAACCCAGGAAATCTTCTGTAGGGAAAAGCAATGGCAGATAATCAGTTCTAAATTACCCCAAGGGTGATGGTCACAATCCAGTTAAAGAAAGAAAGATTTGCTTACCCATCCCAAGGATCAGGGCTCATCAAATACTCCAAAAGAAGGGATCTCCAGGTAGATATCCTTCCTCTAAGTAGCCAGCCCTTAAATGAGGCTTCTGGTCGAAAGCAATTCACCTGTGCTCTCAGGGTTGGCTGTGTCTGTTTACCAGGTGCTCAATCATTGGCTAAGGCCCTAACTTAGCAATTCCCATACATCTGCTGAAGAAAAGATCACTTATTAAAAAGATCAGAATTCATTAACAGCAATATATACATATATTTTGCATGTCAGTAACACCCAGTAACAATTTTATCAATAGTTAATGAAGTTCAGAACCATATGTCCCAGAAAGAAGCATTTAGTTTGTGTGAAAATATGCAAAATTAATTGCAAATCATTTGTATATGCTCATTTACTACAATGACAGATAAGATGCTTAAAATGCATAAATGGCTAAAAATCATTTTCTTGTTTTAATGGTTATCTGACTGTAGTGCAAAATTGCTTTTTCTAAGCACATTCACCTGGTTATGCAAATACTTGTTGTAATAATTAGACATCAGGTTTCTTGGTCCTTATCTCTAAATTGGAGAGAGATGGATTTGAAGGCTGGACTATCAGATGGATAAAGAACTGGTGGAATGATTGCAGCAGACAGGGCTGCTGTCAATGGCTCTATGCCCAGATGGAGGCTGGTCACAAGTGTCCTCCAGGGGTCTGTCTTGGGACTGGTGCTTGGTACTAAATGTACCCTCAGAAAGTTTGCTGCTGACACCACACTGAGTGGTGCAGTTGACAAAACAGAAGGGAAAGACATCATTCATAGGACCTGGACATGCTTGAAAAGTGGGCACATGAGAATCAAATGAGGTTTAATAAGGTCAAGTGCAAGGCGTTGCAGTCGGATTGAGGCAATCCCAGATGTGAGTACAGACTGGGAGAAGCACTCACTGAGAGCAGTCCTGCAGAGATGGACTTGGAGGTCCTGGAAGAGGAAAGGCTTAACACGAGCCAGCAGCGTGCGCTTGCAGCCCAAGTTCTGGGCTGCATCAGAAGAGAGGCGGCCAGCAGGGAGAGGGAGGGGATTGTTCCCCTCTGCTGTGCCCTCCTGAGGCCCCATCTGGAGGATTGTGTCCAGGCCTGGGGCCCCCAGTACAGGAGGTATGTAGAGCTGTTGGAGTGGGTCCAGGGAAGGGGCACAAGGATGACCAGAGGGCTGGAGCACCTCTGCTATGAAGAAAGGCTGAGGGAGTTGGGCTTGTTTAGCTTGGATAAGGCTCTAGGGAGATTTATTTGTGGCCTTCCCGTACTTGAAAGGAGCTTATATACAAGAGGGGGACTGACTTTTTACATGGTTTGATAGTGACAGGACAAAGGGAAATGGCTTTAAACTAAAAAAGGGAGATTTTGGTTAGATGTTAGCAAGAAATTTTTTTCTCAGAGCAGTGAGGCACTGGAACACACTATCCAAAAAAGCTGAGGATGCCCCATACCTGGAGGCATTTATGGCCCGTTTGGATGAGATCCTAGGCAGCCTGATCTAGTGATTCGCAATCCTGTCCATGGCAAGGAGTTAGAGCTAGATGATCTTTCAGCACCTTACCAGCCCAAGATATTCCATGATGCTTATTTGAAAAACAGTACACATTCCTGCCTTCCTTTCTCAGAACATTTAAGGGTTTATCACACTGCCTTCACCAGACTTTGGATCCAAGCTCTAAAAGAGAAAACCTTAGTCACAAGGCATGATGTTTTGGTGCAGTAGCATCCCTCTAGGGAAGTTAAATTCTTCAGCTGGAAAGAAAGAACGACAACAAAACTACTTCAAAGGGCAGCCAACACACAAGGTGCTGTACAAACTGCAGCACAAGCTCAGTTCTTCCTGCAAGAAATTATTTCACATTAAGCAACATTCTCCTTTTTTCAGGTCTCACAATACAATAAAACGACACAAACCAACAACCCAGACAAAGCTGAGAGCTCCAAGCAGTGGATTTCAGATGGAAAGAGAAAGACATTGTGCCAAGTGCCCCATGACCCTAAGGAGCTGCTGCCTGCAGCGATGACTGGAGCACCAATCTGCTCTGGAGGTGACCCCACATTGCCTGTTCTTTGATATTTATGTGGCATTTCACCACTGTATTGCCCTTTTAGAGTTCACTCCCACCATCAGATACTAAAGCAGGTAATTCTCCAAATAGCTCAATTCTGAACTGAAAACTCAAGCAGCAGAGAAGAGTTCAATTTCAGGAGAATAGCAAACAAAGAACAGAACCAAAATGACATCTCAAAGTACTCATTTCATCTGGCTGGGAACAGCCTGCAGCCACAGGCTCAAAGTGATGGGAATGTAACGATAGCTAGCATTGCAGTGAGTTACAAAGTGCAGTTGCAGAGTTTGGATAAGACTTTCAGATGCTGAAAGGCTACACTTGGCATTCGATTTCAGAATTGTTGCTGCTGTGAGCCCTTTGAAATCTAAGCATTCTGACATATTTTAATACTGTAAATGTAAATAATGTTTTTCACATTCAGGCAGAAGGAATCAGGCAGACTAATAATGCACACATATTAGAGATAATGCCTTGGGGGAGAAATAATAATTTGCAGCTAAATTACTTAGGGAGGTAATTGGTATTTGTATCCCATACTGCCTAGCATGATATTTAAAGATGCTGCAAAATCCTTGTTACATAGTTATGTTTTATGCTACGAAGCAGCTCTCAGACAAAAATCTGCTTAATAGTTAAACCTGTTGCTATAACAACGACATTTCACAGACATGGATACACAGAACATACACAACCACATCTGCATTAACAGAATCTCTCATTACAATTGAATTTTACCTGGCAAAAGAATCGGTTAAATTTGGGGGGAGGGAAGGGGAGGAGTGTCTTTTTTTTTCTTTTATTTCTTAAACTACCAACAGGATTTGATCTTTGAACACCAAAAGTCTCTCCAAGAAAAACTTCCTGTTTAATTCATCTGGTTTTGGGTTCCACTTAAATGTTTCCCCTCCAAAGAAAGGAATTCAACATCAGCCAAGCAGACATTTAGGCATATGGCAGATTCCACTAAAGTGGGTCAAAGTACTGTCAAAATACTGCTTTTGATACACACTGCACATGCTCAAAGATGCAACTTCTTCCAGCCTTTGCCCACAAAACTGAGAATGAAGAGCAGAAACAAAGGCTCAGTGTAACACAGCAGGTCTGGCAAAGAATCAGCAGATTTTGCATATATTTATTTGATGAGTCAAATCACTGTTTGGCACAGCTTTATCCATCTTAGACCTTAATTAATTGCCTGGAATAGGAGAAGGGTATATAATAATAATAATAAAGAAAATTTAAAAAGAGAGATGAAAAACTCTTGTAGGTCAAGCTAAGGCCAACAGAGAAGTGTTAGGGGGAGCTCAGGAATGGCAGATGGTTTGTGATGCTCTCAGTAATGGCTTGTGATGCTTCCAGTAATTACGGATCTTTACAGAGTCAGAAGGTTCATCTCTGCATGAAAACAATAACATACAAAGGAATGCTAGACACAAAGCACAGTGAAAGCCACTGACTGGGTGCTGGACTGGGTGCTGAAGATGGCTACTTCAAAATAAAGAGAATAAAAACTTGTGTGTAATACTTTCATCCATTTGCATGCACTATACAGTGGCATTACAAAGGAGTATGACACAGTAATTTATTTCCATCACGAGATTTAATTTCAACCTTAAAACATCTCACAACTAGAAAGACGAATGTGTTTTGGACCTGATATAGGAAATAATGATTTTCAGCATAAGAAGTACTACCAAGAAATTTTCATACACATAATAACAGAATCACAGAATCGTAGAGGTTGGAAGGGACCTCTAGAGATCACTGATAATCATATTACTTTTTATGATGGGCCAACTATAGCTTCTGCCTAGTTAAATCTGTTCTTCTCATTGCCAGTTATGAAAGATACCAGTGGAGACAGAAGTACTTGTCTGATTTACAAACAATTTGACATCTCCGTACCATTTCTCTATTTAGAGCATCTCAAACAATACAACTCCTACAATAAATGCAAATTACTTTGTTACTCTATTCCCTCCTTCATCAGTTTCAATATTTACATATTCTACAAGACAGCTTCAGAAGCAAGATCAAATTTAGCACAACTTTCACAAAGCTTTCCAGAACTGTGATTTTGTTAATAACAAGTAGAAAAATACAGGTTTCTACACAGCTGTCTTCTGTGTTCCTCCTGAAAATACCAGCTGTGGCTTTGAATGAATGTTATTGTTTTCAATTGGCTGCACACCTTTTAAAGAATAAAGGAGGGCATTGGAAGCAGAAGTAGATAACTATGTTACGTTGTTCAAGGTTTCTCTTTCAATATAGAACACGTAAGTAGTAAGGCAGCCTGCCAAGGGCAGACCACAGAAAGATTTAGCAGTAAAAGTTACATATTTTTTTCCTTTTAAGTGTAAGCACAAACTAATGTCTGCTAGACTAATACTGCTTACAACAGAAGGCACTAAGAATATTTTGCCATCAATGATGGAAATACTCAAGTTGCAGGCCTCCCACTTAAATATAACTAGCCTCATCCTACAATGTGCTTTTTTGCTGGCTGAATTTGTAGTCATCCTCTAATACCTGTTCTTAAATTCAGAGCCTTGCAGGACCTCTTAGCAATCTGCTTATCAATTACATGACATACTCTTCCAACTGGAAGGTCAAACAGGAGTGTGAAATGTGTTACTGTGGCTGTCAGATATGCAGGATGAACAACCAGCTCATATGAAAGGGTGTTTTACTCTTCATTTCTGGAGAGATGAGATTCCACCCACTGACTTGGTGCGTTAAGTCAGACATAATGTGGAAGAAGAAGAAGACACTGTGATGGTAATGAGAATAATCATTAAACTTAGCCATAAACCTTCAGCTATTTACTAAAAAAATGTTTAAGGAGTGAGATTAAGATCAGGAAATCTAAATGTATGGCTTTAATTTACAAGTAAGACTCAATATAATCAAATTAGTACTAGTGCACTATGGCCAATTCCTATCATCTAAAACTCATAACAACCTTAAATAAACATGGAAACTGGGTTACTAAATAGCTTCTGTCCAATTACAGGAAAAAGCTGACAAAAAAAAAAAAAGGAGGAAACTGCCTCATCATTTCACTGACATTAACTGGCATCACACTCTACCTGTATCTAGGTTGCAGTCATCATATTCTATACCCTACTCCTTTCTTCTTAAGAAGGCAAGTGTGTGAGAAGAAGTAATCTTTTATTTAAGCCAGGCAACATACCAGAAAAAGCAGTCCCTAGTTCAGCTATTTCATAGCCTCAAGCACCTTGAGGCCAGTGAAGAGCTGCCTTCCTGTCAGATAAGCAATGGCTCCTGCACTGCAATTTCTCTACAAGAAAAGCCAGACCCAGCTGGGACACACACCAGGGCACAGCAGCCTGCAAGTCACCTCCAGGCCCTGAACAGACAGGGTCTCATTTGGAGGGCAAGGTGGGAAGCTTCCACAGTACTGCTGTGACATGTGCTAGACACATCATTCCATTTGTGCCCCTTTCAGAGAGCTGTATTGGTGATTTTCCTGATATTTGTTTTCCTATTACAATCTCCTTTAGCCGCCAGCACAATTTTCAAATTACAGGCAACTTATAATAACAGTGTGCACAAAACGGCTGGTGTTAAATGCTGTCATCCATCTCCACTAAAACTTTTTGATTATTCAG